GCACTGCACTGACTTTTGAGAAATGCAACACCAGTCCTAAAGATTCGCAAGAGAAGTTTTGATCTCCACCCTGAACGCAAAACCTATTTCCCTCTATACAAAATACTAATGCCATTCTACTAGGACTACTGAAGAATCAACCTTGAAGTAACAATAAAGTTAAAGACACAGCCATCTGTCTCCACATATAAATCAAGACTGGGAGACAATTCCCCAAAATCTGAATAAAAAAAGGAGGCAGCAAAGCAAGCAGGACAGATCCATAGTCAGTCGAAGTTTTCAATGCATCAAAAAAGCTTTTAGAGAGTGCAAAGACAGAGCGGTGACGTGACTAATAAATTTAAAGTTAAATAAGAAGTTCAACCTCCAGTTAACCTCTTTCAAACTATGTTACCGCCTCATTTAACATTCGCTGAGGACAACAACTTCCTCAGAGTAAGCCTTCTTTAACCCTGCCTCTGATTCAGCTACCAGTTACGCTGGCATATCTTATACCCTAACCTTAAAGAAAATATTATTTTTCTTATTCGAAACTATTTCAACTTCTTTTTCCTATTAAGAAATGACTTCAACTGCTTGACTTCAACCTTCAAAACACAGCCTCCTACAACGTCAATTCTCTCCAAACTGCGCATTCCAACCGCGCACCAAATAACTTCCTCTTCTATCCTACCGGCAGTAGCAACTTTTGCGCAGAGTCGTACAAAAATCTGAAGTTATATAAATTTGTAATCACACAAAGAACAGAGCCTCCCAGTTACTTGCAATTTACCTTTCAGTAACTCTGCTGAAACCGTTCATAAGCGTTTAATAACTCATTAAAAAGCCCCACCACATTTCAATATGTAAAACTGATTCATGTAATCTTGGCACTATACAGTGCTTCTTAATTACGAATCATCTATGTTAACTAGCAAAACATCATAACCTTACTTTACAATTATATTAAAACGGGGTACGTAGTGGAAGAGAGAACGCAAATGCAGTTTCATCCCAAGTTTATAGTTTTGGTGAACATTTTTGCAATACTGATAATTAACTTAACAAATCAAGAATTACTCACAACTAAATCCATAGTTGTAGATTTAGTTGTGGGTAATTCTTGATTTGTTAAGTTAATTATCATGCTCTTAGACAGAGAAAACCCAAAATTTAACTGTTCACTCAAATCGAAAACCAAAAACCCTTTGAGCAAACCGCATCGCAACGAAACACATTAAGAGACTTGAGTGAAAGAAACATAGAGACGGAAATAAAAAATAAGTCTACAGCAAAACGATGAACTCAAAAATGTTCTACTCAGATGTTTTTTGAACGTTTTCATATTTTTATCAGAAACTGAAAAAACAGGTTCAGCAAACAGAAGCAAGCAAACGAAAAAAGTACTTCCTTAAAGAAAAAGACTGGAGTTACTGTACTTATGTTCGCTCACTAACAAAGAATACTCACTTTCACTGCCACCTTCCCTTGCTTTCTTCGTTTACGAGGTTGTTAACCCTTTATCCGAGAGGTTTATGAAATTGTCCTTTTAATTACCGCTAACTTCCTAACCATTCTTATTCTTATGACGTTTTACAACAGTGCCCCATCTATGGTGTGTGGTTCAGACTTCAACGACTACGTTTTCAAATCGCCATCCTAAAAATCGAAAAAGTCACATCCATTCTACTCTCCTGCAAAAACCTTACGTTAACAATTTTCGAATCTCTTTACCACTTTTCGGCTTCTTTAAAAACTTATTCGTAGTTACAGCGTCTCAACTACGTGGAAAAAACTTGCTGATCCGCTAAGATAATCAAAGTTGTTGAGAAAGGCTTCCCAAACATACATGCACCAAAAAGACCTATCTCATTCACAACTTTGTAGTGCTTCCTCATTTGGGGTCTGCTGGATTGCAGCAACTGGTAATTGTAAAAAGTACTGTAAACACTGATTTTAAGGCCCCTTTAGGTCAGAAGTTTTTTTTTCTTTTTTCTTTTTTTTTTTTTTGGTAAGAACTCTCATCGAAAAACAGTTCAACTATAAGGTGCGCCGTACAGCTGAAATACCCCCAGAAAAGCAAAGAGTATCACCCAAAGGTTCCTGCGCTCAATATCACACAGTTGCAAGAAAAAGCCACTGACTAATGCTCCAAAAGAAGAAGCAGTGCAATGAATCGATACAGGAGTAGAGCGGGTCTGTATCACTGAACCGTTGGAAAGTCAGCAAGAAGTACACAAACAAATTCAGAACTTTCACAGATGGACCAAGTGGGGCGAGAGTCCCAAAAAAAAGGAGGAAGGCTAGCGGTCAAAAAAAAAAAAAAAAAAATTTGAGAGTCGGCACTGAACTGAAATAGCATTAACATATCAGATAAATAACAAGAAAGCAGATTAGAAGCAAAAAAAAAAAAAAA